AAGAAGGGTATTTTTGTTTGTTTTAAAGATACTGACGGAGTGAAAGGGTTAATAGATGATAGGGAGCTAGAGTGCCCTCAGTTGCTTTGTATGCTGTGATGTGGGGTCTTAGGCTGCCAGTGAATCTTTCAGTTCATCATCTTCTTGATCTCCCTTTGGCTTTTGGTTGTTCAATTTTAATGCTGTAAGCCAGTGTTTCCCAAACTATTTTGGTCCACCGCCTCATTTTCAGTGAAAAAATAGCACTGCTTTTCCCTCGCCCTGGAAATATCATCATCATGTGCAATACCAACAATTATAGGCGGTCACCATTAGCCAATAAACATGATCAGTAAGATATCTGCTTGCATGGTGCTCTTGTACAGCCCATGCACATGACCAGAACACCAAGGTATTTTTCTCTTTGTTTTTCCTGTCTACTTTCCGGAAATCTTGCCAGCTGTCACCAAGTACTTGTGTCGGTTCCTTGCATAAAGTCATATTTTCTTAATCCCAAAAAACACAGAATGATATAACAGCAATTTTGTTTTCTATCGTCTTTCTTTCCTTATCTTACAACATGCTCAGGTCTGCAACTTTTGTAGTCTTCTCTCCAGTTTACGGTTTGTTTTAAGTGTGTCTTTGGCGTTTCAAAGCTGTGAAACAGATGGAACTGAGTGAGGTTTCCTGCAGCCTTTGTAGGCTCTGCCTTTCCATTTCTGTGGACCCATAGTAGGCTGGAATTCACAGAAAGAATGCATACTCTCAAAATGTTGATACTAATGGCACAAAAAAAGATTTAAAAAAAAAAAAGGCTTTATCTGACAAACAAAATAATAACTTGATACAACATAAGTGCATGATAAGTCTAGCACTGAAGATTTTTCCTCAAAGGTAGAGATTAAAGAAAATAATAATAGATACGTGATCTATGTTAAATGAAAATGAGTTAAACTCACCTCGTAAACCTACTACTTCTGCTTTCACAACAAATGAGGATTCTGTCACCTTCACCTTGAAAGCACAGGTCTGAGACGGCAGTGCGATTACCTGAAACATTTCAATGTTCATTATTTAACTAAAACTATGTTAATGGCCCTAGAGAGTAATAGTAATTTAAACTATGAATCCTATTCAACCCATGTGGGTTATATGTGACAGAGAGATTATGTCTAACTGAATATTAGACATTTATGAACGCCAAATACTTTTGGATATATAATATTGCATAGATTATGTATTAATTGTAACAGACTGTAGAAGTATAAATGATTAGGTTTAATACATAGGGTATATGTTTAACTCTTCGAGTCCCAGTGGGTTTAGCATCAGAGGCCCAAGGGGTAGTCAAGAGGGACATAAAATCGGCTCATCTTGCGTTCATTGGGCCTCTAAGTAGGAACCTATAAACGTATAATGCGTTCCTTGGGACTCAGAGAGTTAAATGATTAGAATTTTTGAAATAAATTATTTTCACACCGTAATTAAATTTGTGTTTGGGTTTTGTTTCAAGTGCCATATAACTGTTAGTTTAGAATGTCACTGCTATAAAACAATGTTTTCATAATAAATCTTAGTTATAATGGTGTTAACTATTGAAGAAAGAGTATTTTTGGTTGAGCATGTGTTTCTTAACAGGAACAGATATTCGAATGTGGTTGTTCAACAATTTATTATGTTGTCTCCTGATACTTAAGTGTTAGCCATGAAACAAACCCATAGCCTTCAGAGTATGAGACAAATGGCTTGACCACTTCGCAGTGGAGACTCCTTAGGTCTGTTCCTATCTTTAATCAACTCATACTATGAGTTTATCTCTTTTGCCATGTGGGTTCCAAGTTAAAAAAAAATCTTCCTTTCCTATTCACAGTGTCACAGTTGTTCATCTACTCCCCTCTTGCGAAATATGTCCTCAAAAGTGGCTTAATTTGATCAGACAAGTATGGCTATTTTTACCACCATTGCGTTACCAGGATCAAACATGGACATCAACAACAAATCAAAAGAACATAGATAAAATGTCTATGACGAATCCTAAATGAAACTAGAAGAGACAAAATCAGAAATGACAGTATCAGGAAAGGAGCCAGGAGAGAACCACTAGCAAGCTACACCAAGAGACAAATGATCAAATGGTTCACACATCTGAAGACTATCACCAAATAGTGCATCACGGAGAGCTCTGTTATTTAGGCATAAGGAAAGCAGTACTAGAGGTTGACCATGCAAGCGATGGATAGATGGAATATCTGAGACTGTAAATTCCAGTATCTACGTGGCACATACCAAGGCTGGCACTTGATGCCTCTTCAAAACCTGATGCTGAAAGACAGAACAGGACTAAAGAAGTATGGCAACTGAGCTTCATAAACATTTTTGCCAGATAATTTCCAGAAATATCTTGAATTTCTTTGGGAGCTAACAGATTGTAGGAAAATATATTGATATGTCTTACAAATTTCAAGTGGGCTATCCTCCGAATAACGGTCCCAAATTATCGAGAACGAAAATATACCCTAACAGGGCCTCAGTCACATGTAAATTGTGGACTTCCAGTGACTACCGCCACCTCCGAGAGTATCTCCCACGCCGCTATGTGCGACGTGGAGCGGGGCTAAACTAGATGGCTGGGACTCATGAGCAGCAGCTACCGCATCTCCTGCAGCTTCCTTCATTTTATTGCTCGTGAGTCCCAGCCATCTAGTTTAGCCCCACTCCACGCCGCGCTTAGCGGCATGGGAGATACTCTCCGCGATGGCGGTAGTCGCCGGTAGTCAGCAATTTACATGTGACCGAAGCTCTTTTAGGGTATATTTTCGGCCTCGATAATTTCGGACCGTTATTTGGAGGATAGCCTTCAAGTGTACTTTTTTTTTAAAACTGTGATAATCATATTGTGTAATCTATCTGTGGAAAATTTATATGGATCTGGGATGTTATTATTTTGCTTCAGGATAAATCAAAATACCTACTAAGCAAATCTTTGTTCTTGTAATGTCATTGAGTCACTTCCACTGACTTAAAGAAAAAAGCTTCCATGTTTAAAGAATAATTACTGGTATATTTCAATTAGTTTTTGAAAAGCTGCTCTTGTACCTACAGATTAACTGCAAACACTTAGTAATATTTATGTTTTATTCACACACTGTCTACCAACACTGGTCACACACAACATTTTGATATATTTATACCAAGATGTGAATGTTAAAGTGTGATTTCCTGTAGGCCTCACAGATGTGATTTTATAGAAGAATGCTTACAATTCCTTGAACAGCCAGTATAAGTATAGTTAATGTTTTGAAAGAGTCTAGGAATGCACACAAAGACTAAAACATGCTTTAAAAAGAAATTCTGGAATATGTTGTGACCACACACACACAAAAAAAAGAAAAAGAGAAATAGGGAAAGACAATAAAGGAAGAAGTGAACATGTGTATGTCTTCTTCTTCGTTCACCGGCTGTGAATTCAGGCGGAAGGTCTCGGTTGATCGCCCGCTTGGACTTTTGACTTTTACCTGGACCTGAGTTTTGCGTGTACAACCGTTTTGCTGTTCCCTGCCTCATGGGCAGCTGTACTCCGACTTCGAGGGAAGACGTCAGGCCTATTTCTAGGATGACTGTGGCCATTGTTTTGTGTGGGTCGAGACGTTGCCTGATTTGTGTGGTGTCCACTTTGTCTCCTTCTCCGCAGGTATTGCCCCCGGAGTACCCCTTTGGGGCAGCCCCCTGTGGAACCGTTGGCCCTCAAGGGAAGGCAGGGGCAGATCATAGGCATTCCCCGCCATCCAAGGAGGTTTCCATTTTTTGCAGAGCCATCACATGGCGCTCTGGTTCTGGGCTCACCCAAGGAATCGTCACGTCCTGCACATGCCTGCTTGACCTCACAACCGTATTAGGCCTCCCGCTCGACAAGAGCTGCGCCCTCCGGAAGTCAGCGGGGAGCAGCCCGCGAATTCTGGACTTTTGTGACCACCCAAATAGATACATTCTTTTTCTTCGCACGTTAGGTATCTTTGACAAGCTGTTAGCCCGACAAAATTCAACATCCTGCATCAGGCATATCGTTATCTGTTTGGTCCCAGCACTCGGGCGAGTGGGGTCTTTTGGTGTGGACATTTGGACTTTTTCTGTTCAATACGATTTGTGATGGTCAGATTTTGAGCTTACTCGTGTGACGTAGGTTCTAGTTTTGTTGGACATTTAGGCTTAGCCACCCGATGGATGGTTGCTGTCTTGGTGTACCTCAGCGTGGTGACGACGACACTGAGGGTTAACAGAGGATGTACATGGGTAGAATCTTGCTGCAAGATGCCACCCACAGGAGATGTTACTCGTATGTGCTGCGGGTAAATCTCTAGGTCAAGGGTTGAGTCTCAGCAGAACAATGTTCTCTTCACTCCGCAATCTTTTAACCAAGGGTTGTAATTTTAGTTGTACATTCGGCAAGCACTTTACTCATGTTCCTAATGAGTTTTGATAACCTTTTTCACCCATGCATTTGGGGGCGGGCTGATGAGAGCCACAAGGACACATCACCTCTGGGGGCCGCCAAACTCCGAGATCCCCTGACAGCTCTGTTAATGCTCATTTGAGACATTATCCGTGGCACACGACGAGGACGTGCTGCAAGGGTCTTGCGTGAGGTTCCGTACAACCAGAACAGTGAAGGACTGGCGCCCGAGTGACGTACAGAGTATCTCCTTATACACATCATGTTGGACTTAACTTTCCCTCAGGCCTATGACATAAATCACCGCGCCACATGTGTATGTGAACATGGTTAATGTACACACATTTATATACGTTTGATATCTTTATAATGAAGCTTTGCTCATACTCCTAATAAACAGTTTTTTTAAAAAAGGAATCTGAATATTTCATACACCTGTGTATATATAAATGCAAATATACAAAAATTCATCTAGTTTTTAATCTGTTTATGCACACACACACAAGTATGTAAAATGTCATGTGTGCAAACATAAAATAATCAAAGCCTAGAAAAATGTCTAGATACCTACCCGTGCTTGTTTCTCTGAACAGATGATAGCAAACTGTTTGTCACTGTATATTTCTGTTGAAGGTGATGAGCAGATCTTTGTCTTAGACGTGCTCAGTGTCATTTGTCCTGTACATGCAATGTTTAAAACTTATTACAACAAATCCTGTTCAACTTATATTTTTGTATCTATGTTGCCCTGAGAAAGCCATTTTCCAAGTATTTATTTTTAGGTTTTTGGTGACATGAAGGCTTTGAGCGGTGGCCACTACACTTATATAACAGCTTTGGTACCGACTGTAACTTTATAGTGTGTGAACGTGGTGAGTATGGCTATACATACTAACCCCCCCCCCTCCCCAATCAATTGTTTTTTAAATATATGTCATCATTACATCATAATAATGTCATTAAGATGTCACTGTGCTCCCCATAGCTAAATTAACAAACTACTTATTTCATTGTCAAAGGGAAAGAAAGCAGTCAGTTTGCTCAGTTTGTAATTTAGTGATTAATTATCCCATTAACAACCTCCCCCCCCCCCCCCCCCCCCCCCCCCACACACCTTTTATATGGAGGTCTTCATTCGTTAAAAATTAATACCAGGGAAGGATAAAGTGGGAGGGGCTAACTGTGTATCTTGATATTCTCTAACTGAATTCATTTAGATATGTACCCTTTTCCTACCCTGTGGATACAAGTAAAGCTATTTAATTTTGTTTTACGAGGCACTTTTTGCTATTTTCTTGGTTATCCAGGACTTTGACTGGGATAAACATGGCTAAAATATTAGACTAGTTTCTCAGGTGGGTGTGTAGTATTAGGACTCAAATCCACATACTCACAACATAAGTGTATATCCATGTGGGGTTGGGGACACTATAGTAAATTTATCTGACATAATGCTAGCTTTTGCCGGGGGCCCTAATTGTAGCTGGGCCACATTTGTGGCCATAACGGCTGAAAGGGGTTTCTGGGACTTCTCCACAGTGATCCTTAACTTTGTGTCACCAGGTGTTTGTCGATTGTGTGATGTTCTGGTGGGGTACAACAAGCAAGCAATTAGAGCACGGGATTTTGGGACCATTGTTACCATCACATGTATTTAGTATGTTTCTTCTCAGATGCTCATCTTTCATCCTTTCTACAACCATTTTCCCTTCATTCTCATTCATTCCCTCACTGAAATAACCCCCCACACGCAACATGGCCCAGGGCAATTTTCTCCATGTATCTACTTTAGGGGGAGTCGCTGTGGTTGAGCGGCTAGACGCCTGTGGATTGGAAGGTCGTGGGTTTGCTCCCTGGTGGAGCTGGACTTTTTTCAAAAATGACCTTGGCTCCTAGGTCGACCCAGCCTTGAATGGGTACCAGGTGCAGTCCCAGGAAGTAAAGGTGGCCGGGGTGATGCTGACCACATCACCTATCTTGTGCTGAATGATCTATAAAATTATACGTCTAGCACTATATGCCCTATACACCTAATGGCGTGGAAAGGGTCCTTTACTTTTTAAAAAATCTTCTTTAGTGCCTGCATCATTCATGTCCCGCCTGCATACCTCTTTATATCGTAATAGAGGCTAGCTTTAACATCTTCTACCCATCTGTAATTCAACATAGAGGATGTTCTTAGGGACTTTACCATCCTCCATTTTCCAGGTGTGGCTGAGCCACCTGAACATTCAGGGACAGAGCACTGAGAAAACTGATGTGATTCCCGCTATTTCTCATAACTCAATGTTTGTGATATTGTCTTGCCTAGTTATGCCAAGCATTCTTCTTAGACATCAAATGTGAAAACTATTTAGCAGTTTCTACTGGTGTGAATTGGATGACCAAGTTTCACTGCCAAAAAAAGAAGAGTGCTGAAAACACAAGCCTGATAGACAAGAATTTGTTTTATTCATGAGCTTTCTGGTCTCATAAATTCTTTTCTGTTAATCTGTTCATTCTTAAAAAGGCACTAATATTGTTTTTTGAAATGTTAGAACTATGAAACCCTGCGACAAGCATTAATGACAGAGGCCAGATGTGCTGGATGGATTTCCTCCATGATTTGAATGGATGACACACAGCAGAACAGAATGGGGAAACTAGACTGTGAACCCTCTGTGGGGTACAATAACATGAAAAGATAATGATAGTACTGGAAACTGAACCTGGACCAATTTCTTAGTAAGCACATGCACTAACCTTAAAGCCACTGCCCCTATTTTCTTTCAATCACAACTAGAAAAAGAAAATGGTGAAACTTACTACCAGTAGTCTTTGTGTTTGTCTTTTCACTGATGTCTTTATTGTCTCTATCTTTCCACTGGTCACCCATTGCTGGAATCAGACATCCTTTGAAGTCCAGGAAAGACATGCACACAATTGCACCTTTCATTCGGTATAGTGACCCTGCAAGGGGGAAGAAAAATAAGTTTTTTTTAATAAACAGATTGTTATTCACCATTGTCGACTGACACTGTCTTTTAGCCCATAGAAGTCACGTGCGTCATTACTGTGTAACATTCGTGGAATAAGATATGTATTACAGTTACGCGACTCAAAAGCTTGCGTACCATATATTCCTGACAGACTTGCAAGTAAAGCTAATGTTGAAGATGGCAGGACCATGGATCAGGCTGATGTACTGAATGCTCTATGCAAAGTAAGATGTTTGTGAGAACCAAGTGATGACTGTGAATCTGAAACCATGACCAGACTGCAAGAATCTTCTTCTTCTTTTTCTCTCCATTTACTTCAGTGAGTTGTTGAGTGGAGATGTCAGGATCAATTGTGTGCGTTTCCCAATGCATTGTACAAGATGGTGTTCATTTCTGTCAGGTTGCTCTTGATGATGTCACCCCATCTTTTGCATGGTCCTTCTCCTTGCTCTGTGAGCATTATATTTCTTCAGCATGGCTCTCTTTGGCAGTTGGTACCAGGTCATTCTCGTCATGTGGCCAAACTATCTCATTTATTGTTCTTTAATGAACTGTATTACTGGTTTCAGTCCTAGTCTTCTTCTAATTTCTTCTTTCTTGATTTTATCTCTTCTTGTCACATCGGCAGCTCTCCTAAGACATCTAATCTCTGTTGTTACGATCTTCCACTCGTTAGTTGTAGCAAGGGTCCATGTTTGTCACAGGTAGCACTGGTTTGTCACTGGCCATATATGCAGGAAACCAAAGAAAAATAATAAACCAGCACAAAACTGGTGTTGTTTGCTGCTACATGCTGTGGGATTTACTAAGTAATGGATCCCAGCACTTAGGGACTGATTGGTTTGATGTGTAGTGAAGATAACCTGTCAAATAACTAACTATTCTCTACATTCCTATGTGAACCTTCACCTAACTTCTAATTTCCATGCTCATCTGGTATTTCTTACAGATAATACTGTGTATAAACTATCTTTACCACCTGTAATTACAACTTTTTGGGCAATGTATGATAGGATTGTCATCTACCTGAAGAGTGAATGGTGCAAGGTTAGTGTGGTCACCACAAACTGTGCAGGTTAAGATCTGAATACTAAAATCAGGGTAGAAACACTTGACATAATGGTCAAAAGCTAAGGTATGATAAATAAACAAATTGTAGGGGAGTAAAGTTTTAGGATTTCAAATTTCCACACATACTAAGCAGAGACTAAACCACCCCACCCCCCTTTCCCCACTTTTCACATACTTCTGGTTCTGACATTGATAGGGAATGGATTTCAGTTAAGAACTTGGCTTATATTGACCATTCTCATCGCTGTTTCTCCTCCAGTTTTGATGTAGCAAGATTGTGGAAGTCCAGTTTGCAGCCGGAGCTACTGAGTTTAGTGACTGAGTTCCAGATTTGTATATAATGGCAATGATCGGAGATGTATTTTTCTTCATTGTATTCCTGGGACAAGGCGTGTGCAATAGCTGCTATTTATTTGCTGGCGGTGGCTGCAACTTGGCCGAGGACATATGGAGAATGGTCAGGAATAGTTTTAATCTACTCATCGCCCAGCTATTCGTCGAATGAAGTTGATTTTCAGCAATGAGGCCTGGTCTCACAGTGTGTTTAAGGAGGCATGCACCTTATGGTTTGCCAGATCAAATCATGTGTGTTTTGCTGACTGAGGACACTTTGTATGACTACGGCAGTCACTTGAAGTATCCAGCATATCTGGTGGTTGAGCAATTATGGGCCAAGCTCGTTTGCTGTGATGCTGGAACTGTAATGACTAACTAACTAACTAACACATACAAATTAACAGAATACTAATTCCACAGAGTAATTTAGCTATACTTACCACTTGGAGAAACTATTACAGGTTGAGACAATCGTTGCTCCCTTTGCAAAATTAGGGCAATAACAATGACAGACCCCAAGCTAGTGCCGACCCACAAACATGGGGATGTCTCACTGTCTGAAACAAAACAAGATTAATTTTTTGCTTCGTATTTTGTCTTCACTACACAAAACCACATCTGTCTCAGTCTTACTATTTTGAATGCACCCAAATTCAGATAATAAAAAAAAATGCTTTAAGCTAATCTGCTTTGGTGTATGGGTCAAATGTACAAAATATATTAAATTTTAAACATACTGTGCTCGAATGTGTATGAGTTAAATGTGTGGAATGTGTCCCAAATCATTCCAGCCTAATAAAGCCTAAAATAGGTGTCAAGTAAAGTTCCAGGAAACAATGATGACCAGCATGAAGTTGATTACAATTCCCTCATCACATTGAGTCTGACATCATGTGCCCAATGCACCGCTGGTGTAAAAATGCCCTTTTCTAACTTTACTTTTATCACTTCTTTTAACCTGATTCAGTTTGAATGAGTTAAATACATAAATATGTTAAATACATAAATAAATTAAACTTCATGCTTAATTTACTTGCATGTGTACAAGTTGAATACCCAAATAAAATCATCTTTAGGCTTACCTTGCTTGGACGTGTAAGAGTCTGCAAAAACTAAAGACTGGACTGCTTCTTTGCTAACATTATCCAGGCTGGAAATACTAGAACTGCGTGAGCGGCTAAAAGTCACATCTGCCTTGTCTGTTTCCAGAATAAATGCAGAGAAAACAAGGCTATAAATAGGAAGAATACTTCTCTACTTGTTAGCAATATTCAAACAATATTACTTCTTGAAGCATTTTTTTTTTACATTGTAAGAGAATTACATATGCTTAAGTTTTGTACTTTACATAAAACATTATGTAACATGTTTAATGAAACATACGTTATGTCCACTCAGCATAAGAGAAAATATGCTTCAAAAACTAGAAGCGTATGATTTAAATATTTTTTTTTTTGCAATGAAGTTTTTTTTCTAGTCTAAATAAGAGTAACTATAGCTTAAAATAGAAATGTATGATTTTAAATCAACTTTTGCAATGAATGCATTACTATCTTAAAAAGATAATGACAAATGAATTTAAATTATCTGATGTGATCAGTTCTGTTTTTTCTGTCTATTTTTTACTTCCATTTCAACATAAGAAACATTTAACATTATGACATTTGTGTAAAAATAAATTAATGAGTCATAAAAAACATATTTTAGTAGTTTAAAGCATATGTGCACCATAATTTTATAATCAGTAAATGATTTTTAGCAATTATAAAATACATTAAAATTATCTGTATACAAACGAAATGCAATAATTGATTCAATAATTTGTACTGTATTCTACAACTATTTATAGTTTTGAAATTTAATAGTTCAAACCAATTTTTGTGTGTGCACCTATTAGCATATTTGTAATAACTGTTTATAAAGAATTTTAATACATTTATTCAATAAATTATGACATAACACTTATAAACAAATGCATATATACAAAATTGTCTGTGTTGCAATTGTATGTATAGTAAAGGATTCTTTGTCATGCCTTCAGTTGTATTGGGCATATAGGGCTAGCCCTATATTTTTATAGACCAATAGCAGTTAGTGGGTAATATGGTCAACATCATGCCAGCTGCCTTTACTTCCCAGGACTATACCTGGTAGCCATTTAAGGCTGGGAACCAAGGTCATTTCTGAAAGGAAAAAACGTGGCTTCAGCAGAATTTTAAACCATGACTTTCTGATTTGCAGGTGAGTGTCTAGCCGCTACACCATGGTTGCTCCCTGTTGCTATTGCATCGGACTATAATGATATAACTGTAAATTTTAGGGGGCTTCTGTGGTGAAGTGGTCAAGCCATTTACTAAGTGCTCTGAAGGTTCTGGATTGATTTCAAGAGCTGTGTCAATCAATGACAGATTACAATTTTTAGGGAAATCTCAGGGATCATCACTGTGGCTGTGGAGCTTGTGCTTGTGCAGTGCACTTAGCAAGCAGCTATTACTTAGAACATGTATGATAATATTTAAATAATTTGTAGTAGTAGTCATTTAAATAACAACATCCTGTTCAACTCGTCCCAGTTATACCTCAGATATCTAGTTTTTTTGAGTTTCTATTTTGTAATGAGTATTTATGCCTATCAATTAAGATTCGTTATTTAGAATTGCATAGCTTATGTATCAATTATATGAGGGCTATTCTAAAATCAACCTCGGATTAGCTGGTTTAAAAAAAAAAGTTTGCTATAGCTTGCATCATTCAGTAGCCTTTTATCTCACTAGGCACTAACCTACAATTGCATTTGCTCAGTGATTCAGGAATCATGAACAAATAAGCATGGACATTGTTACTGCCTCTTCATCCAGCTTTGAAAAATTGTTCTTAGCTTACATTTAATATGAGCTGTGTTGTCAGCTGAGTTGTGTGGTTATTTGAAAGCTGTGTATGCTGGGTGAGTACTGACAGATAATACTTTTATAGTAGTAATTTAATCTCACCTCCTTTCTTCTAAGCTTCAGGGAAGTTATTCCAATTGCTACTTCTAGTATTGTACTTGGAGTGCCTGCTATTATACATATGGCTTGGTGTCGTATTTTATCTAATTTATATTTGTTGCTTTTAGCTGTTGATTCATAAATAATGCCTTTATACCCCCCCCTCCCCCCCCCCCAATAAATGTTATATAAAACAAGCATTATATTAATTTCCTGTTAGATATCTCAGCATGTTAAGTTGTCCATGGCAAGTTTATATCAAATTTTCTAATTTTTTTTTTCAGTTAAACTATTGATCCACAGTCATTCCTAAATATCTTGTAATTTGTACATAGTTTTCATGGCCATTTAAATTGATGTCATTTATTCTATTTTTAACAATTCTTCCTTTATCAAACATCATACCAACAGTTTTTGTTGCATTTGAATAAAATCCAAATTTCCTCAATCATTCTGACACTTTGTTTATTTGGATCTAAAGTTCTTTGTATAATTTAGGGAGATTTTTTTCCAGTCCTACAGACAGATTGTGATTATTTTTAGTATCTGAAATTTCATCTTCAAGATCACTGATCATGATTGTTAAACTATTGGTGATAATACATATCCTTGGGGAATACCATTTTCTTATAGTAGCAGTTCTTATTGTGCATTATTTAATTTTACTGAGAAATATCTTTCTTGTTGTAAAAATGTTTTCATGAACTGATATATTTTTCCTGATATAACAGTCTTTTTGATTTTTTATAAGGTAGCTTTATCTCCAGCATACATCAAATGCCTTGGACATATTGGGAAGCAGGGTGAGTTTTATTGTTATTTTGTGTAGTTTGCTGTCTCTAACAAGCATGTCACAAAAGTCGACTAATTAGCAGTGTTTCCTTCAAAGTCAGAGTGCATCTGACTGGGACAAGGAACCAACAGTTTGCATACAAATAAGCCAGATCTATAAAAATCTTTGTGCATGTGAAATAAAAAGAAGATCTAAGTCCAGAAGTTTCTGAAGATGAAAAGCCAGAACATTCCACTGAAGCTTACAGCCAGGGAATTCATAGGAGGAGAGGAAGAATAGGAGCAGAACAAAAAATAGGTAAAGAAAACAATTAAAATTTTGATAACACTGTAGCTGTCTCCTCCCTTCACCTAGCATTATTTAAATTTAAAATTGTGTGGTCTTCACACTGGAACATGGCCAAAATATATCTATGGCTAGCTGTAATAATATTAAAGTGGTAAGACAGCAATCTCTTTCATGGTAGGACTTTTGTACCACTGTATCAAAGCCACAATAATGGGCTTTTCCCAAACTGTCTATTGTGTGAATCAAACCCTAGAAAACTTTGTGGACTGCACTGTGAAACATTTCACTGACACACAGTCACACTCAATTTCTGATTGTTAAATGTAATTATTTGAAGGAAAACAATTTTTCCAGTCTAATTTATAGAACCTTTCTTTATTGTGAACCTGTGTTTACATGTTGTTTGACAAAGGGAAGGGAAGAGTTCCCAGACAGAAACAAAACTGCTAATTCTTTTGGCATCAACATAGCAATATGGGAGGCTGCTGCAAAGGACCGTTATGGATGGTGTACATGCCTCAGGCATGGGGCATCGTCCTGCAGAGCAGCGACAGTGAAGGTTTCATGGGAAGAGAAAGGAAGGCAGACTAGAAAGAACCGTATCGCTAATTCCACACTTACAGCGGCTTCCACATACTGTCCGCACTGTAAAAAAGTTTCCAGGTTCATTTTGGACTAATCAGCCACCTTTGTACACATAATCATTGATCATTACTACTTCGAGTGCGTTAATAAATGGTATAATTATAAAGCAGTAATAGATCTGCAAACTATACAACAATCAGCTTACAAATCCACACAGAGACACTCAAACAGCTGTGTAAACTAGAAATTTGAACAAAATGATAGTAATTCCTTACTTGAAATCATTCATTTGTAAAACAATATTTGACTAATTATATTACTATGTAGATAAATGCTGCTTGGATTTGCACCTATTCATATTAAAATTACCCACATTGTTTTAAAAAAAAAATGCTTTTGAAAAAGAAAATGCAAATTATTATTAATAAAAGTTACTGTTTAAGACAGAAATAATTGGCTGGATTTAAAAAATAAAAATAAAAATAAAAAATTTAAATAAAAAGACTTTTCATTCTCTTGTTGCAATGTGCAGGATTAGTAACTTTTATGATATTCTGTTAAACTCATAAGGATTATACCTAGGATAAACAGAACTTTTAAAATTTAGATACTGAACATTTAAGTTTGTCAATGTATTTTGGTTACTATATATATATATATATATATATATATATATATATATATATATATATATATATATATATATATATATATATATATATATATATATATATATATATATATATATATATATATATGTAATCTTTTTCTTCATGTTCACTGGATGTAAACTCCTGCAAAAAGTTCTGGTTGTTCATTTACTTCTGGATGTTAATCTTACTCAGGAACCTGAGTTTTGCATGCCCATTTCACTTATATGTATGCAGTCTATCGGTTCTTCAACTCTCAAAGATTTACTCTGACTTTGAAGGAAATACTTCTAGCTAGTCGACCCTTACGACACGCTTGTTGGGGAGCAGTGGGTCTATTGTTTTGTGTGTGTGTGCCCACAATGGGACCCCAGAATAACAATATATTGTTGCACTAGACATATGGTGCTTGACCCATATTCTTTTTAGACCAACAAAATTTGATGGATGATGGAGGCCATCATCATGAGACAGCTAAGATAATTTTTTTTTTTTTAAATATTCCTGAATGTGAATCACAAAGTTGATTTATCTCTTTGACTCCCAGAGGGTTTAGCAGCACAGGCCCAATAGGTTTTGAAGACAGACATAAAATCAATGCATTATGTATCTATTGGCGGTATCCGTGGTTTAGGCGTTGTGAGTCCGACTCGTAATTCCAACATACTGTGATCGAAACCCACTGCTGGCTGCATGGATTTTTATCATGGTCTGAGACGTCACAGGTCGACCCAGTCTAAAATAGGTACCAGGATGTATGCCCTGGGGAAGTAAAGACGACCGGCATATTGGTGACCACATTACTCACCTAAGTGGTCTGTAAAAATATGGGAGCTATTCCCATATGCCTGATGGACCTAAAGGCTAGAAAAGGGATCTTTACTTTACTTACTTAC